GGGGGGGGGGGGGGGGGGGGGGGGTGGTGGTGGTGGTGGTGGTGGTGCTATAGACTACTATCATCAGTGTCTTCTTCCCCTTATTGATTACCTCCACCCAAATGGATTCTACATCATTCCATCCAAGATCAATTCTTGTTCTGATTCTCATTCCAAGTTGTACTAACAAAAGCTACCCACCCTTCCCTTCCCTACCCTCTTGAAAAATGGCATACCTCTGAAAATTTAGTTCCAAGCTCTGATCTCCTTATAACCATTTCTCCGTAATGATTATAAGATCATACCCATTAACCTCTACCCGTGCCATTAGTTGATTTATTTAGTTCCAAATATCTTGTGCATTTGAATAAAAAGAGCCAATAATTTTGCCTTTTTACCATTTTTTACCTCCATTGACCATTTACTGCCATTTTAAAATGCTTCTTCACTCTATCCCTTATTGTCCCACTCTAGCTATCATTATCCAATACTTACCCTGTCATGCCAACATATCCTTTTGCTTTGCAAGCCCTTGTATCCCTTCTTCGGAACACCAGCCCCCACCCATATCCCAATTAGTCTAAAACCCCCTTTACAGCTCCGTTATCTGATTCATCAGGAAACCGGTCCCAACACGGTTCAAGTGAAGCCCATCTGATCTGAACAGACCTCTTCTTTCTGAGGACAAGTGCCAGTGCCCCACACGCTGAAACCCATTTCATGCACACCACAATCTTATGAGCCACAGTTAATGCCTTGACTTTATTTACTCTGTCAGTTTGTCAATGGCTCAGGTAGTAAAACCAAGGTCTTTACCTTGGAAGTTCTGCTTTCTAATTTAGTTCTTAACTGTTCAATAATATTTCAGCAGAACGTCCTTTCCAGTTCTATCAATGTCATTAGTACCAACGTTGAGGACCATAACCGGATCCCTCCTCTTCCGCTCCAAGTTTATCCCCAGCGAACATTAAGCTGGGGAGTTTGGATTATTAATTCAGTGACATTACCGCTACACCACTTGAAAGAAACTTACGCGACACACTGAATTGGAACCGACACTTGCGCACCCAAAATAGCAATCTGAATAAGCCAAAATAGGCTGGAATTTTGGTAGTGGTGGGGCTCAAACTCATAGAAACAGTAACATGAATCCAGCACCCTGCCTTGATGCCCCATTTTAATTGTATTCATGCGTGGAAATGGACAAAAAAAAGAGAAAGGAAGCGGATCATATTTCAGGTTACATCATTGGAATGGCATATCAGTGATAAATTCCTCCCAAAATGTTTAATTCAGTGAAGTGGAGTTCTACCTCTTTTTCAGCTTCTTTCAGCTCAGACTCCTTCTCTTTCACTCTCATGACGAACATCTGTCTCATGTCTTCTTCCTTTTTCTGCAGCTCGGTCAAAAATTCATTTCTTTTTGCTTCATAGGTCTCCTGCAAGCTAAGGCAATAGAACAAATAAAACACATGGGCCAAACTGTACTTCTGTGTGAACATTCCCTAAATACGAACATGTGTTTTTCCCAGAAAAGGAACATGATTTCTCTTCAGCTCTGTCCCACACTGAGGGGTTAAAATATAGCTTTTATCCATTATAAATATAAACAGCCATTGCCACCAAATGTAATGATAAATGCAACAATTTTTAAATTAAATTGAAACATTGTACTCTAATTGATACAAAAATAACCAAGTGTATTTCTAAATATCTACAGCATAAAATATTATAGATTGTACTCAATGGATGGAAATAAGGCATACTGGAGCCTCGAGCTCTCTGATTTCCATTTGTTCTGCTCATTTTGCAAGTGCCAATCAAACCCAGGCATAAAATTAATCCAATTCAATTAAACACATATTTGAAATGTATTTGAGACAACAAGGTGCAGGGCTGGATGAACACAGCAGGCCAAGCAGCATCATAGGAGCAGAGAGGCTGACGTTTCGGGCCTAGACCCTTCATCAGAAAAGGGGGAGGGGAAGGGGGTTTTGAAATAAATCGGGAGAGAGTGGGAGGCGGATAGAAGAGGGATAGAGGAGAGGATAGGTGGAGAGGAAACAAACAGGTCGAAGAGGCGGGGATGG